TATTATTATTATTATTATTATTATTATTATTATTATTATTATTATTATTATTATTATTATGTTGGCTGCTTCTACTACTACTTCTACGTCTCAGTAAATCCCCTGCCGTGTGACGACGTTGAGGATTTCTTTCCTTTTCTAATCTTCCCTCATATTCCTCTCTTTCACTCTTTTCTTCCTTTTCTTTAGCTCCTGTTACCATTGCTGTAGTACTAGTTGTTGTAGTAGTTGTAGTTGATTTTCTTGCTATTGCTGTTGCCATTGTTGTTGTTGTTGTTCTTCTTCTTCTCATATTGATAGCTGTAATAGTCTCTTCTTTTTCTTTTTCTTCTTTTTCTTCTTCTTTTTCTATTTCTTCAGCATAGATAGAAGGCAATAAACGTACATCATCCACGGCGATCTCCACACCAGAAGCATCTCGCCATGATGAGATACCACAACGAGGCCGCTGGGAAGAAGTACTACTCAAAGATCGACGTCCATGCATAAGTTCATCATAAAGATGTGTGGAATTTCGTTCTTTATGAGAACTACAACTCCTTGAACGTTCTTTTTCTTTTTCTTTTTGATATTGATATTGATATTGATATGATTGTTGATGTTGATATTGATTATGGAGAGTAATGGGAGTATCTCGTAAACTACAGGAACGGCCTGGAGTAGTAGAGGCGGAAGTGGAACGTAAAGGTGGAATATATTCAGAGGAACTCAAAAGAGCAAAACCAGATGGCATCATTGATCCTCCTAAACTCTCTGTTAATTCTGATTGTTGTTGATGTTGATATGATTGTTGTTGTTCTGATTGATGTTGTTTACATTCAGGAGAGTCTGTCATCTCTTGTAGAATACGAGGTACTTCCACTTCCATTAAATGTTTTTTAGGTGTTACATCACGACGATGAGGATTTGAATGATCATCTCTACGCATTAAAGCCTCAGGCCGCATAGCTGATGGTGTTAATGTTTTTCTTTTGTTGGCTAATGGTGATGGTGTTAATGTTGATGTTGGTATTCTATTCCCTCGATGTATTGGATTTCCATTACTGGCTTGTTGTTGCTGTTGTTCTTCCTTTTCTTTTTCTTCTTTTTGTTTAGACAGATACTGTTGTTGTTGTTGTTGTTGTTGTTGTTGTTTAACGGCGATATTTCGATTGAATTCCCCTGTATGACTATGAGTTCGTTTAGAATCCATAATAACACCAACGGCGTGTGATCTTTCATCCTCTTTATTATTATTATTATTATTATTATTATTATTAATCCCTCCAACTGCATATAATACATACGGTGAACTTTCTTTTTCCTTCTCTTTTTCTTCTCTTTCTCTTTCCATTTCATCATTTGATAGTCGTAATTTGTAGTTTTGTTGATTATGATGATATTGATATTGATGTTGACGGCTTCGCTTGGGTGTCGCCTCTGTAGAAGTAACCTTTGGTGTGAGCAGTGAAAAACTATTCCAACTCTGATAACTACTCCTACACGGTGAGTTTGACTGCATTGCTGTTGTTGTTATTACTGTGTTTGTTGTTGTGTTTGTTGGGGTAACACTACAATTACGACTCTGCATATGTGAAGATGGACCACCCGCCACACCGGCATTTGTGCCTCCCTCCCACGGGGCCAACACTAAGGAAGGGGTATTGTTATTATCACTATCCGGATCATGTGTACGATAGAGAGAAGGGGATTTCTCACGAAGTGATGATTTACATTGACCTCTTCGTAATTCTATACTATCTGCATGTATTTTTTGTCCAGATAAGGGAGGAAGGGGAAGATATGCTTGTAATTGTTCTTGACGTCTTTTCCATACACGAGCATACTCACGACCTACATAGTGTCCTTGTAAAATAGGAAGTTGAAGATGAACATCATCTAATGTAAGAATATTTCCAGTCGTTGTTATGGTTGGAGGGAAATGGGTATTCTTTACATCTAGAATAAAACCATCATCTTGCATATATGGACTTTCATAAGTTTCGGGATCTGGTAGTTTTACACGTGGAGCTGTTGGGTTTACCACTTCTTCTGCATATAAAGAAGGTTTCTTTAATTCCTCTGCATATAAAGAAGGTCTTCTATATTCATATGCATATAAAGAAGGTTTCTTTAATTCCTCTGCATAAAAAGAAGGTTTTCTATATTCATATGCCTGTAATGTTGGTTTTTGAACTTCCATTCTATTTAATGTAGGTAACATACACTCTTCTGCATAAAGTGTGGGTAACAAGATTTCCTCTGCATAAAGTGTTTCTAAAAGTGCTCTTCGCAATCGTTTCCATAATGTATGTAAATCTTCCACAGCTGCCCGTTGAGCAGCCATTGCAAGTTGTGCTGTAGGCCGAAGAAAAACAAACTGTTGGGTTTGACAAATAGGTCCTGCTAACATATCAATTAAGGATATAGGACTATGTGAAAGTGTATTCCGATGTTGTTTAGCTTTCGTGGTGATTGGAGGAGGAGTTGTTGTTGCTGTTGCTATTGCTGTTGCTGTTGTTACTGTAGTATTAGTAGATTCTGTACTCTTATTACTCTTCTGTGCACTTTTTGTATGTGTTGATTCGGTTTGACTCACTGTAGAGATACGTCTATTCTTCATTGGATTATATACACTAGTAGTAGTAGTAGT